CCACTGCGCCTGCGCAGAGCCTCGGGGGGCGGAGCCCTCGGTGCACCCCCTCTTTTGCCCTGCCTTCCTTCTCTTCCACCCACCCACCCTAACACCCCTGCTCCCTCCCCCAACTACCCTGAACACTTAGACAGGTGAGCAGGTGCATGGGGACGGCTGCCAGACACTGAGGCAAGGTGGCAGAGGCGGGGCGGGTAGTGCCTTCCTTGTGGTTTTCCCTTGAGGATGGATTCTCCCTGCGGGGAAGGACACGGTGTGTGTGTGTGTGTGTGTGTGTGTGTCTGTGTCTTGCCTTCGCTGCCACCTCCTCCCTCCCTCAATATCCTCTTGCTAGGAGGAGGTTCATCGTCGTTGTTGCATCCAGCTGCTACTGCTGCCAGTGCCACGTGCCTTGCAAGGTAGGGGAGTGGCAGACGACCTCTTTCTGCCCCTCTTCGCCCTTCCACGCAGCCTGTCCACCTGCCCTCCCGGGAATTTCTCAAAAGAAAAAGTGGCTGGCAGAGCAGAAACAGACGCACCGGGAGGGACAATCCTGCATTGTGAGGGAAGGATACAGACGGAATGTAATGGGTCTTTTTCTACAGCCATGAAAGGAGGCTGACACCTGCACACACAAGCACTACTTAAAATAGAACTTGTCAGTGATCCTCTCTGGATCAGACTCGGAACAACAACAGCTCCTGAACTCGCCTCCCAGCCTAAAAAGGCTGCACTCCATAACGAGGTGGGATAGTTTGGTAGAAGCGATACATCCCACCCTTTAAAAATCCCTGACAGCCCTCAGGTACGATAACAATTAACTAATGCTTCCCTTTTTTCATAGGCATGTACAGGTCAGAAGATTTTTGAAATTATCTAAAAATGTGGGTGGTTCTCAGTGCTAGGCTTGACCTGCGAGAAAAGCGTTTTTCTGTGTCTTCACGGATCTAGAGGCAAATAAAAAGTGTTTTTAATTTTTAAAAATATAAATGTAGACAGTAATCTTGCTACTAGTATAGAATTAAAACTAAAAAGGAGCGACTATTGTTTTCTTCCTCAAAATAAAAGATGCAATTTTCTTTAGTATTTCATGATGTCTGCCCTTTTCAATACAGATGTATTACAAACCACCAGAAATAGTAGGTATCTTGAGGTATATTCCGATCATCTTAATTGTCATTTCAAGTTTTAAAAAGTTGATATACAAATCCATGATAATCTAGTTCATTATTAATCATATTTAATTGCTAGTCAAGTTAACTCCAGGATATGGCAATATAGTAAAATTCTGAAGTATCAAGGTTGTAACAAAGTTCCTCCAAACCAGTGCTTCCGTTTAGTTCTTGGTTATATGTTTGTTTGTTTAAACTTGCACTGAAGTGATTTAACTATTTAAGTAAGCAGCAATTTCTGAAAGAAGTGACCACTGGCATGTTCGCTTAAATAAAACAACATTTGAATTATAAAATGCTAGAATTGTTGAAAACATGGAAAATTAATAAAACATGAAAATCCTAACAGATATACTTGAGATATACTATAATCAGAAAACCCTATGACATTTATATCTATCTACAGCCATTTCCTCTGTCAAAAGTCAGTATCATTTACTTTTAGGAGCACTATTTTATTTCTAAATTTAAAATGAAATACCTTTTTGAAGTACATAAATCCAGAGTGAAAGCTCCTCACACCAGGTTTTTTGAGCCCACTGTGCATATATGTATGGCAGTAGGTTCTCCCCCTTGCTATTTTTAGACTTCTTTCATGAGTGCTTTGAAACACAGTGTCATTCTAAACTTTCTATTTCCTTTCTGATGGAATAGTTTAAAATCACATTAACATTTCCATTTCATCTTCTCTGTTTTGTTTCCTAAGCAGTGTGTGTGTATATTTTTTTTTATTGTTCATTTTTCTTTAGTGAAGATAGAAAGTAGATAAAGAGGATATTACTATTTCAGAGTAGGGAAACACCACTTCCTTTGCATAATTAGTTCAGTTTCAGAGATATTCAAAAGAGCTAACCAATTAAAGAGCATTCTTGGGTAGACTATCAGCTCCTTTCTGGCAGTATGGTTTAATAGACAGTTCACAGGGCCTTGAATTACGCTCACTATGTACGACTTGTATGGTCTACTCAGGCCATTTGAGCTTCAGTCTCATTTCTTAAACAGTGATGAGGTAATACCTGTCCTATTTGAAAGTGAAGATTCAATTAAATAATTTCAGCTCCGTCACTAGCATAAAGTAAATGTTTCTTTGTATCTTTAGTATGCAGGCATAGTGGGTATTGAATGACCTATAAACACATATAATACCAGTCAGAACCACATACAAGTCCAGTAGTTTCACAGTTATGTTTTCAGTTATCATCCTCAAAGGCATAAAGTTTAGAAAAGACAATGAGTCTGTTTCTTTCACATACAAAGCCTATTTGCTTGAAAATGTACAAATTCCTTAGCATTTGCATTAACATTTTGAAATAAAAGATAGCTACATACTAATAGGAGCTACTTAAACTTTTGTTTGTTTTTACATCTCCAGATTTTAAAAAATGTTGTATGGTGAATATTCATTTTGTATACATTTCTGCATAACTATACTTCCAAAGGATAGCTCTTCAAAAATAGAAAGCCCATGAATCTTCCATTTTAAAAGGATATATTGCCCAATGGTGGAGAGCACATGCTTAGATTTGAAAGAATCTGGGTTTGGGTTCCAGCTCCACCACCCACCTATGTATATGATTTTGAATAAATGACTTAATTTCAAAGTACTACTCTATCCAACCCAAGGGGATGTGATTACGTCACAAGATTAGAGGCACAACTGCACTTAAGGTACTTACGTGGTAGCAAATGTCTGTCAACAACTCTTCCTTTTATTGCCTGTTAAGAAAAGACCATGTTGTAGTTACTTTTATGTTTCCAGCACTTAACATGCTTTCCATAATTTTCATCCATTCAAAAATGAATGGATAAAAGCAGTTCTCCAACCTAAATGTTCCCCTTTACCTGTTCTTTAAAAAAAATTTTTTTTGTTTCTTTTACACATTATCTGAGTAGAATACTTAAATTCGACATGGGTTTGGACAGTATGAAACAGGGAGACTCTTACCTCAACCTTTTAAAATATAACTCCTGTTAATGTAACCCCTAATCAAATTAGACTGCTTTGGATTTTTTTCCAGCAACATGACACTAATGATTAAGATAATATAGTAATGATTCATGTTTAGCATGTAATAAGTTCTCAAATACTTTGTATTCCATTCCCCTTTCATGTGGAAATGATCAACCTGAAAGCCCAAGTTTTTTGTTGAGCCCTTAGTTTTGTTTTGTTTATAGACATGCTGCTGCTGCTGCTAACACATCTCCAACATGTTAACTTTAGAAGTAGACTGTGAGATATAAAGTACAGATTTGTACATATGTATTTAAATTTCATTTTTATTTTATTCAAATTTTCTTTTTGCCTGCCAGGAATTTCTTAATCCTGATTACAGCTTCCAAGTAATTTGTTGTCTTATCTTATTTCCAAATTTGAGAACATTCTATCTACATCCTCATCCAAATGTGTGATTGCACAGGATAAAAACAGCTCAGTAGTTACTAGTAACATTGTATTTGAAATCAATTCATGATTTCAAATGTAGGGTCCAACCCATTAGAGAGTCATGAAATCACAGTCCCATCACTGTGGCACATGCTACTAACTGTTGCTTCAGGTTGAGGTCGCATGGGAGGCCTGAGTTCGGTTTCCAGCCCTGAAATAAGGACATGGTGGTGTTGGGAGACTGAAGCCAGAAGATTGTAAACTAGAGGCTGGCCTGGCCTGTATATCCATCTCCTGTCTGGAAAAAGGTGTGGAGTGGAAGAGTGTGATGACACTTACCTGCAGTCCCAACAACTCAGGAAGTTGAATCAAGATAGTCATGGTCAAAGTGAGATCCAGTCTTTTTAAAAAATTCATTTTCTATTTTTTTTTTTAATTACAGGAGCGCACATGAATTTTCTAGAGAGACCGAGACAATAAAAGAAAGCACCCCTAGTAGGATGTGATCTTGCTGCAACTCCCTTTTCTTCATTTCCCAATCCCATCAGGATTTTGTAAATGTACATCCACACCCCCAGCAGGTCTTTCAAGCTATTATAAGAGCCGAAATTGAAACTGCAGTGTCCATGTGGGATCTGGCTCCCTATGCACAGCAAGCTGCACTATGGGACCAGCCTCAATTTTATTTTTAATATAAATTTAAGAATGTTTGGGAACCAGCAGTTAGCGTAATGGCTATGTCGCTGGACTCCCACATAGTCGACCGTGGTTCGCGTCCCAGACCCGGTGGCTTAAAACTCACGCCGGGCGCGTGTGCATGCGTGCCCAAGATCCCGGGAGGAGAATGGAGGAGAAGGGATTGCGGCGTGGCCATCCCCCCTGGGAGGTGATTTCTCGCTTTCTGTCTCTATGTCTCTCTCTGTCTGTCTGGCGAGCGCACGCGACCTATAGTAAAAAAAAACCTCTCAAAAAAAAAATTTAAGAATGTTTAAAAACTATTGATTTGGTTGATTGTAAGCACCTCATGGTGTGTTCCTTATTAACTAGCTACTATACCGTGCTGTTAACCTGTGTTTCTCTATGTTGTCCAAAATAACATCATAAAGTACATTAACAACTTACTGTATTTGAGCAAAATTAAATTATATAATTTAATATATATATATAATATATATATTTATAAATGTGAATTATTGTTATCAGTCTTGGTGATATTAAGATACTTGCCAAAGATTTTCAAAAATTTGCCTCCCTCTGACTTTAGCACTTCAGTTCTCAGGCACTTCTGCTTTTCTATGACTCCTCCAAGACCTTTGAGAGTTGTTTAGTGATCTATTTTTCAGATTCCTTCAGGATCAATGGATGTAATTTGTTTTGCTTTGGGGACTTGAAGTCATTTAGATAAGCTAGGTGTCTATTAACAATTTCTGTACTATGCTTAAAATTCAGTATCCTCTAGTAGTTCTACCTGTTTCACTCCCCTAATTTCTTTTCCTGACAGAGAGCACAGACACAAATTAGAATTTTGGTATTTGTTACCCAATTTGACACAGTTTTGATGTATGCATGTGTGGTTTTTATGTGTGTACATGTATATATTTTTATGAGGGAGAGAGAGAGAGAGAGGGAGAAATGAATGGGAGGGGGAGAGAGAGATGGGTATTTTTGACAGGGTCTTACCATATTGTAATTCTTCAAGCTAGAAACACAGGTGTGTGCCATTATGCCCAGCCTATTATGGTTGTGCAGGAAGGCAAACTCAGGCTTCTTACGTGACCACAGTCATTGCACAGATGTGCCCTACTGCTCAGGCCACCACAGCTGACTCACACTCAGTTTTTTAAATGGCTAAACTATGATGCTTATCAACTAACAAATATTTGTATGACTACTGGGTACAAAAATACTAGACTAGTTGTAATGGATGATTTCAGATTTTCATTTAGAGAAATATTGTGTTTACACCTGGGAAGTTAATCAGCAAATCAATACATGAGAAATGTCAAATGAATGGTGCAAAAATAAGTACTCTGGAACTTTAAAAGAACTAGAGATCTTACAGACACTAATGCACATCTGCTACTCAAACATCAAATAAATATGCACACAAATGCACCACACATACACATACACACAGTGCCATTACTTTAGTTGTACCCCTGCCTATTCTTCACAGTATGTATAGCACACATCCTATTCTTCTCATTATTATGGCTATTATCCTAATTCAGATTATAGTAACTTAATCCCTGGCCCCCTTATCTCCATACTCACTCATCTTCAGTCTGTTCTTACATAGACTCACTCACCATACAGAGACAAAGAGTGATAAAGTGAGAAATTAGGACCCGCAGATGGCATGAAGGTTACATCACTAGACTCATGTTGATGACCACAGCTCAAGTCCTAGAACCGGGAGGCTTCAAATTCACGTTAGGTATGTTTGCTTGCGTGTCCAAAATCCTGAGAGGAGAATGGAGGAGAAAGGATTGTGGTGTGGCCATCCTCTCTAGGGGGTGATTTCTCGCTTTCTGTTTCTCGGGTTCTCTTGGGATCCCACGTGCCCTACAGCCAAAAAAAACCTCTCTTGAGACCAGTAGATGGTGAAATGGTTACATTGTTGGACTCCTATGTAGTCAATTGCAGTTAAAGTCCTGGACCCCAGTGGCTTAAACTCACCCTGGGTGCATATGCGTGTGTTCCCAAGATCCCAAGAGGAGAATGGAGTAGAAGGGATTGCAGCATGGCCATCCTTCCCGGGAGATGATTTCTCGTTTTCTGTCTTTGTGTCTCTCTTTATTATTTCTGGCAAGCACACATGCCCTATAGCAAAAACCTCTCTTTAAAAAAAAAAAGCAAAATCACCATGGTGGGTGGAGGGGAGCGGGGGCATATTTCAATCCCTTCTCCTCCATTCTCCTCTCAGGATTTTGGGCACAACACATGCACACCTGACATGATTTTCAAGACACTGAGCCCAGGACTCAGGACTCAAACTGAGTTTGGCTGTATGGGAGTCCAGCTCCTTAACCAACACACTAAAGCTTTATCTTGATGGATAGATTAATGGTCCAGAATTTATACTTTATTACTCACAATAGCTTCTACATATACATGCCATCTGCTGAAAATATAACCAGTAATTAATTCTCTTTGCCTAAGTTAAGCCCAAAGTCCCTAACTTGGTACCAAAGGACCTCCATACTTCGGTATACTTTCTAGTTTTACCTCATTATGTTCCTGACAGGACCTATCCCAGTGACTTCTAACCTGTTTGAATATGTACAACTTTTTTTATCATTAAAAAAATGCTAATTCAGGGCCGGCAGGTGGCATGATGGTTAAGAGCACTGGACTCCACATGACCTATCATGTTTCGAGTCCCGAATTTGGTGGCTTGTTTTCTCATTTTTTCCTCTCTCTCTCTCTTTCTCTCACTCTGTCTCCAGTCAAATTAAAATAAACAAATAAATAAAGTTAAATAAAATAATTCTAAAAAAATGCAAATTCTAGACCTGAATGATTTATCCTTTTAGTATTCATTAATTGAAAGAATATGCAATGATGAACATCTGCTTTCAGATAAATAATCCTACTTAAATACTTTTTTGAAAATTACACATCTACATATATTTGAAACACCCACACATATATACTGTTTTTGGTTGAATTGTGTTCCCTGAAAAGATATGTTCAAGTCCGAACCTCCAGCACCTGTTGATGTGACCTTATCGAGAACTAATGTCTTATAGATGTAATCAAGTTATGATGAGGTTACAGTGGAGTACCCAGAGTGATTTTCAAGCTACCAGGCTGGGATTCAAACTATGGCTGGTCATGTGAGATCTGGCTAAGCTATGGGGCCAATCCCTGGCTTTTTTTCCCCAAAAATAACATACATTTACAACTTTTCACTTAAATAAATTAATAGTTTCCATCTTCTTTCCTTATTTCCCAAGAGTAAGAAAGTCACATGCCAATATATATATGTAGTCACCTGTACAACACCTTCACTGTAATTTGAAAGAAAACAATATATATAAAATATGGTTTTTTGGTGTGTGTGTGTGTGTGTGTGTGTGTGTGTATATATATA